GTAGTAAATATAATTACAATCATCTTTTGGAGTAGCATTTATAAAAAAAAACCTCAATTCTATTAATTGTAAAAAAATAGTGAGCTCACTCAATGTATTTAATTCATTTAATTTAATTTTACAATTACATTTTTAAATAATTAATGTTATTAATAAAAAAAATTACAAAAGTCCTGTAACACTAAGAACGCTGTTACAGCATTCCAGAACTTTTGTGATAAAAGACATAATTACATATAGCTGCGCCACCTGTAATTATGACTTTTATCATGTACTCACCTTGCCAGGCTGCCTGTTTTAAAATTTAAGCATTAAAATTTTATAATATTTTACTTTACTGAAAATTTTAATTTTATTTAATAATATAATTACTACTTTAACAAAAAATTTTAAAATTTGACTCAGAGAAAATAAAAATTATAAAAGATTTGAATTTTGACATTGATCTCAGAATCTTAAAATGAAGCATAAAAGATTAGAAATATGTAAATATCATTAATAATCTAATTAAGGAGTTTTCAGCAATCAAATCTTAATATTTTGATAAATCTAATGTATATTTTAATTCCAGTAACCATATAATATTATCCAACTAGAGATCGTAAAGAAACAATTCCTTCTATTATAAATGAATTTCGGACCAATATTTATGGATATCAAACCACCAAAATTTGCTAAATTAATAATTAACCACCAACAGCAGCACCACCAGCAACAGCAACAACTACGACAACAAAAAGAATTAACAAATTTAATATCTGAACAAGAAGACGATATTCTTCAAATACCATATTCTGATTCTTTACAATTTATATCATTGTACGAAGCTAGAAACGATTACTTAACAATTAATCAAAATATAATAAATGATCGAATAAAGATTATAGATGATCATATAAAGGCTATAAATGAAAAAATTGAAATGATATTGTATCGGTTCATTGATTTGTTAGAAAAACACAAATCAAAATGTAATATATGTTTAGAGTTAGGAACTACTTCTAAATGTTTAAAATGTGTTTTCATTATCATTCGATTGTTTGATGCAATAGTACAAAGTTTGTGATGTGTTACGATGTCCGGGTTGTAGATTTGATTTGTAAATTTTTTATTTGTAACTATTTTTTATTAATAAATTATTCTACAAGTTCATTAAAATTATTTAAAAAATTTTTATTAAATTGGTAAAGTTTAATTATTCTTGTTTAAAGTTATATGTAACCCACATTCTTGATTTATATTTTCGTTTTTGTACAATTTGTGGGTTTGTAAATTCTTATACAAAAAAAATAACATTAAAAATATATCTAACCCAAAAAGTGGTCATCAATTCCAAATCTAAATTATCCGAACCTAAAATGCATTTCTCTAATAACGAATATGATTTGTTTTTTTTAAAACTTTCATAAAAATAAAAAAAGTTCCATTTTTTTGTTCAAATATTAAGGTCAATATATTGGTAGAGAATTCTAAAGGCCCTACGAAATTCATTAATAATTCTTTTAAAGCTAACATGATTTATACCATTTCCAAGATTTCTTGACGTGTTAAAAGGTTCTTCTACACATAGGTTCCAATGACCCCACTCTCGTTAAGGAATTTGCCTTTTGAAAGGATATAATTTACTATTATAATCAAATATGATAAATTTTAGTTTTTTCAAGTATGTATGTTATAGCTGATGCTGATGCTGAAGTTTGTAATTTCTGTTTGAAATGGTTAATAGAAATATTGACTGTCGTTAGAGCAAATTTTTGTTTTTGCGATAGTTTTATATCAAAATTTTGTGTTGCTGGAACCCAAGAGGTTGTTTCATACTTAATTTTGCCTAAAAATATATTTTTGATTTTATCTGGAATTATTGCTTGAAATTATAATGAATTTGCCTAGATTTATATCTAATTTTGCCCGTAATTTTGCTTGAAATTATATTTTAATTTTACTCTAATATTACAGTCAGAA